GGGTTTTTATATATTAGGATAGCCAAGATTTGGGAGCAGCAGCCAAGTTTATGAGTGGATTAAAAAAAAATTGTGGAATATTTATACTCGACCGTAAAAAAGAAGGAAAAATCCCCTTTTATGATATCATGGATGGACCTGGAGAGCATTATACAAAATGAAGAAAACCAGTCGGAGAAAGACAAGTACCATATGATTTCACTCATATGTGGAATCTGTTGAACAAAATGAACTAACAAACAAAATGGAAACAGAGTCATGGAGAACAGACTGACAGCTGTCAGAGAGGAGGAGGGTTTGGGGGCAGTGTGAAAAAGTTGAAGGTAGCAAACAAAGAAAAAGAAAATCCTCATAGACAACAGAATGGCGACTACCAGAGAAAAGGGGGTTTGGGTGGAGGTAGAAAAGGATAAAGGGGGTAAGTGGTAATGGAAGGAGATTAGGCTTCGGGTGGTGAATACACAATACAGTATAGAGATGGCATTATAGAATTGTACACTATATAATTTTACTAACCAATGCCATTCGATAAATTCAATAAAAAAGGGAAAAATAATTTAAAAGCAGTTCTTAGGTTATTTTTTTTAATGGAGAGATTAGATCAAGGTAATGAACTGAACATATTCATTTGCCTTTCCTCCTCTCAAATACTTAAAATGTCAAAAAATACATTTTTAAAACTCCTCACTGACACTAGAAAATGTCAGCATTTCCCTTAAAAGGCAGGAAGCAGAATCATAGTGACTCTGAAATTGGACTGAAAGATGCCACAGAGCAAAACACTGGTAAGAAAAACTACTTGTAGTAAAAGAAGATCCAGAGAATTTTGACCGCTGAATGAACAATAGAATGTCTGGAGTGTGGGGTGGAGGTTTCGGTGTAAATTATGAGCAAGGGTTAAAGAATTTTATTTCCTTGCCTGAAGGTTAGGCATAGTCATCGTCCCCCCAGCCCCCACCCCCTCCCCCCACTCCCTTTTTTATTTGGAGCTTCAGGCAACACTTGCTAAGAGGGAGATTGAAAGAAAGCTGGACAAGCAAGGTTCAAGATAATTCTAGGCCTTTAGCACAGGAGAGAGAGGGAGAGAGAGAGAGAGAGAGAGAGAGAGAGAGAGAGAGAGAGAGAGAGAGAGAGAGTGTGTGTGTGTATTAATGGCCACTCTTCCCCATAGGGGTGTAAAATAATTCCCTCTACTTCCAGAGTGAAGTACTTCATATTTCAGCGGATTTGGAAGGTCCTCACTCTTCAGCTAACGTAGCCCCTTGCATCCAGTTAACAGGCCCATGTCTCAAAACCCATAGACCAGCCTCCCATTCAGGAGAGGGGCCTGTGGGTGACACTGACCTAGGGTGACACTGGTAGAAGCCTCCACAGCACTAATCAGCCTGTCCTTTGAACTTGAAAAGCAATAGACAGACAGAGGTCCTCAGACAAGACTGAGCTGTAAGGCAAGTAAACAGATGAATTAGAGAGAAAACAGGCAATTCAAGGAACAGAGGAGAACTTTGAAGAACTATAATTAAGGTCCTCGGAGAGATTTTAAAGGAACGATCAGTAAAGAGGCTTCCTTGAAAGCTAATAACAGGATTGCCAAGATTAAAAATCCGTAGATGGTCTGAATGATAGAATGGATTTGATCAAAGACCAAATGAGGAATCTGGAAAATAAACTCGTGGGGGGAAAAGGACAACAACAAAGAATGCTCTAGAATGTGGAGCAAAAATCCAGAGATGAAAAATGTGAGCACATTTAATGTAGGATTAATCCAGGATGTCTAATTCAGTAAGGGAGGGAGGACTCCTCACCTGCAGTCCCGAGTAGCTTCAGAATGCCAGGGGAGAATGTGTCGGACCTGTTACAGTCCCAGCACAGGAGCGTTCGGGGCAAGCTTAAGTGAGTTTCTCCAGCCCAGGACTCAAAGGCTACCCTTCACAGATTTCTGAGTCAAAATGGAAAGTACATTTAAGAAAGAATGTGGGATAGATACATGAAATAGCAAATGAAGTTAAACTTGAGAGTCTGTGCAAATAACTGTTCACTTTGGCACACACGTTCTTATACAAAAGTCGTCCTCGGGAGGCAGATAAAGCAAAGGAAGGACGAAGGTGGATGTGTGCTGGTGAGGGATGTCCACGCTCATTACTTGTCCACATCACACCTGTGTAACAAATGCACGCAGCATTGGAATACATGCGGCAGGAAAGGGTGGAGTTCAAGAGGGAAACAAAAGCAGAGAAAATTAAAGCCGTAATGTAGGGCAGCAGAAATAAGTCTGTTCACCACAATCACAGCTCCTAAGTCAAAACAGCCTTCCAGTGAGTTCTGAAAAGAAATCTAGTCACCTGAAGTTTGAGAAAAGAGAAACATAGAAAAATGGAAAGAGAATGGATTGAAAACCATGTACCAGGCAGATACCAACAGTAAGCAAGGTTAGCAACGTCAGTGTCAGACTAAAGGGAAACCAGGGCTAGAGAACAGAATTCAGAAGTACAGAGGCATGTTTGCACTTAGATAAAAACTCACTCACACCAGCCTCTATTATCAACATAATACTATCTTACAAAACCCCAACAGAAAAGTATGACAGGGACATGGAATTTTCTCATTCCAAGTGAGAATCTCCACACTTTTCTTAGAAGCTGATACAAGCAGGTAATTCAGATAAGGATGTGAAACTTGTAACCTTGTTCCAAAATAAATAGGTATAAACTCTGAATGCCATAAAAAGAGAGGCACGTCCTTTACAAATACTAATGGGATAGTGAGGAAAATGAAGGATGACTTGCCCCAAGATTGTCATTTGCTGGTCATGCTTCTTTTTTGTTGAAAAAACTTCTATTCTCCAACTGCTGTGCCCCCTTAAAGAGGGGTGTTTTTTATTGGCTTAGAGAGCACCCCAAATGGTTCCTGTCACAAGAGGTCTCCCCCTTTGTCTGTCACTGAAGCCTCGGGTTCCCTCCCTGTTGAGGAACCTAGAAGAAGCCTCCAGTTCTAGCTCCCTCTTGCCCACCCCCATCCTTGGGAACAGAGAACACTTGGCCTTGATCATTGTAGCCATTGCCTTTTAGAAGCCAGGAGTGACCAGGCTGGCTACTAGCCTTTCCCAGCCTTGCTTTGGAGCAGCCTGTTGCTCTCCAGGTTAAGAGAAAACCCCTGCCTACAGAGATACAGATTCTCTGAGGGCAGCTGCCTCCTCTGAGAGACAGGAGCTGGGGATGGAGAGGGTGAGAGCCTTGTGCAGGCTACTGTGTTTCCAGCATCCCCCCCAACACACAAAACTAAACATCTTATGTTTACTAGATATCTTACTAAACATCTTATGTTTCTTTTGGCAATTTTATTCCACTAAGGAGGATCTTTCCTCTGCCACCCACTCATCCATTTCCCCCCCCCACTTAATGCATCTCTTGCTTCCGCACCCCCCCCCCCACCCCATAACAAGGAACTCTGTTCAAAAACTACCCTAACTTGAAGGAAACTCTCTCCGTCTCATTGTTTGTGCATCTTTCACAGTCACACTCTGACCTGCCTGCCCAGCACTGTAAGGAGGATTTTATTGGATGTTTACGGCAGACAGCCTCGCTAAAACTCTTTCTGAGCCAGAAAGTAAACCAAAATCCGTGGTGTGAACACCGTGGGTTTCTAAGCATTTTTTCCTGTTTCCTTCCATTATGCTGGAGGATACACTTCTGGCTCCAAGTGAAAATAATCCCAGCAAGCTCCGAGGAAATTCAGGACGACGTATCCAGTGAAGCACTGGAATCAAAAGTGAGCTCTTTCGCATGCAGATAGGTGATGGGCTTTATAGAAACGGTGACCCGAGATGAAGTTTGAGGGGCTCAGTCCAGACAGGAGAGGAAGAGCTTCAGCTGCGTGAGGAAAGTGCAGACGTGGACCGGGCCCGCTTCCCCAGACGCGCGCGCACACTGTAGCTTTAAAGCTGTCTGCTAGAAGGATGGGATGGCGCTGCGAGCCAGACCACGTTGGTTTGGACAGAAATTCTTACAGAATTATTAAGCCTTAAAAAAAGCAAAGGAGATTTATGCATCTGCATCTGACCAATTTGGTTTGGAGTGGGTTCATAATGGAAAAGTAATAAAACCAGAAGAGACAGTGTCTTCTGAGCACAGTCTCGCTTTTAAAAAACCTAAACATGGGCTGCCCCATTTTGGATAAGATGACTGTAGAAATATTTCCCATTGGTAATTAGGGGAGGGTTTTTGTTGTTGTTGTTGTTCCTTTTTTCATTGATGGCCAGCCAGTATAAATCTTAAGCTTTCCGGCAGATATTTTTCTCTAGGAGATGTCAGTCTCTGAAAAAAGGAATCCTAACGTGTTATCTATGCGAGTCTCCTCCATGATCACCTTTACACACACTTACACACACACACACACATGCACACATACATAGACATGCATACATACACACACACAGCACCCAGTGTTTGCTTAGCTACCAGTAAAGCCTTTTTCTGGTGTAACTGGAGAGGTCAGGGTTTGGAGAGTCAGGGGTGGTTGACTGTGTGCGAGAAGGCACCTCCTGTGACTGCCAGCAGCCACAGAAAAGCATGAAGAGGAAATGCATAACAAGCGTCACCTCTGAAAAAATCAGATCTAATAACTTGGTGAGTTTCTGATTTCAAAAAGAGAGCGGGGGCGGGGGAGGGAGGCAGCGTGCAGAGATCCAAAGACTGTTCTCTCTCCTCTGCATTTACTCTCACCCCCTGGAAGGAATGTTATTAAATCATTACAGCTATTTAAGAAATAGGAGCACAACAAGTGAAGGTGATGGGGGAGCGGGCGAGGCGTGTCCATGGATGTGCGGGAGCCTCCATGGCCGCAGACAAGACGGTGAGGGTGGTAAGTCCCAGAGGGGACAAATAGGCATCTGATTTCTTCGGATTCTTAACTTTCCTTCCACGGGCCAGCTGTCCAAAGAGCAGTTATTTTTTATATAGTGAGAATGTGAGCAGACTGCCACGGCGGTGTCTTTCCCGCAGGTATGCCAGCGGCATCTTTAGTGACCCCTGCTGATGTTATCAAGACTCGATTACAGGTGGCCGCCAGGGCCGGCCAAACCACTTACAGCGGCGTGATAGACTGCTTTCGGAAGATACTGCAGGAGGAAGGCCCCAAGGCTCTGTGGAAAGGAGCTGGCGGTATGGAAATAATTTGTCTTTAACTAAACCTTTGGTATCAGGTAAAGTTTTTAAAAAATCTAATTACACCTGATATTCTCCCCCCCCCCCCCCTTTTTTTTTTTTAAAGCTCGTGTGCTTCGATCCTCACCCCAGTTTGGTGTGACTTTGCTGACATACGAATTGCTGCAGCGCTGGTTCTACATTGATTTTGGAGGCGTGTAAGTGTCATCATGCTAAATTGAAGCTGCATTTCAGTTGCTTCTTGTACTCGGTCATCCTGGAGACAGGTACGCCCACCTCCGGGCTGCAATGGAGAAGACGTAGGAAAATGGTGGAACCACGTCTTCAGACCAGATCTATGTCCAAGGGGAACATGCCGCTGACTAGAACTCCACCGCTTCTTTATGGCGCAGATGCTCAGTGTTTGGGGGTTGTGTTTACCAAGTTAAAAAAATAAAACAAAACTCAGATTCTCCCTTTTCCTCTTCCAGGAAACCCATGGGCTCAGAGCCAGTTCCTAAATCCCGGATCACGCTGCCTGCTCCCAATCCTGATCACGTCGGGGGCTACAAACTGGCAGTGGCAACATTCGCAGGGATCGAAAACAAATTTGGACTGTACCTACCTCTCTTCAAGCCAGCAGCATCTACCTCAGAAGTTACCAGCGGAGGCCCCTAGGGGGCCTGACCTGGGTCGGGGGGTGGGGGGGCGGGGTTCAGTAGCTCTGTTGTTACCTGGGGAAAGAATGCCCATCTCGGGTGGAAGCAATAATTCATTCCTTTCTCTTCTTTAAATTCAAGTCCAGGCTTTTTTTTTTTTTTTTTTTTTTAAATCATTCCTTTTCTTTGTGTTTTCTTAACCAGATCATTGTAAAATTATTCATAATTACTCACCGGGCCTCTGCTCACATTTGTGTCTGACATTTGCTAGGATTTGGCCAGCTCTCACATGATTTGGGGGAATGAGCAAATCAGAATAGAAATGAGAGAGCTGTTCTCCCCTTGGGTTAGGATTATAATCCCAAAGAGGCTACTGAAAGGCAGTCACGATGCTCCACGTGTTTTATGAGCATGTAAGCTGGTAAGAAGCTGGGTGCGTATTTAGAAAAAGCGTAAAGCCCTGGAAGCAATGAAAAACGTGGCCAGCAGCAGCGGCCCAGCCTGGCTTCAGATTTTAAACGCACACTACGTCTGGCCTCTGGATTATATTATAAAGCTTTTATGTGAAACATGTTTTATTTTTTTATAATGAAAACCACATTGAAGGTATTTAATAATCATAGTCTTTTACCAGTACCAAGACTGCTGGCGAGGAGGCTTGCACTTTAGGGAAGTCCTCTTGGCATTTTCTGAGGTGGACAGAGATAGCCACACTTCTGGGCCTGCTTACTTGGAAAAACTGCTTGAAGGCTGCACCTGTGCTGGTTCCTGGCTGTTGCAATGAACATTAAGAAAACGCGTGCCTGTTTCTGGTACCTGCCCTGATCCTCTCCTGACTCCCCGCCCCGCCCCCCCCCACCGCCGCCCAAGCTGGCACCCATTTGCTTTAAAATCCACTCTATCTTGAATCATGTAAGACAAATGTACTCTCAAATTTTTATTTAATTTGTGGTGCCTTCGATAATGGTCACAAGGCTTTTGTGTGTTTGTGACGAAGGAAATAAACTATTATCAAAACTACTGAAGTGTTTTCTTTTGTATGTCACCTGGTGAATAATGACCATTATTGGATGCGATGTGTTTTGACAGGGAGATTTTATTCATATTTGGCACAGATAGGGACCCTCCTAGTCTTCCAAAGTAATGCGTACCCCCATTTTCAGTGTGCCATTTTCACAGTGAGGAAGAGAAACTGCATTTAACCACCCCTAAGCAAGGGACCTAGCAAGCCGACCCTTTTGTTCTGGTCAACCCCAGCCTTTCCTGCCGTTTCTAATCCTGGGAAGTTAAAGCAATATAAAGTTTCGCTGGAAATTGGGCATGAAGATTGGTATGAAATGATGGCAATTGTGTTTTCTCTGACTCGTTCTCCCTCACACCAAAACCTTATACCGCTGTCTCCCACACTTGGTAATTTTTGGCCGGCGCTGTAATGGTTTGGGGAAAGAAGCCTGAACAGAATGTGGGGCTTCTCTTGTCTACAGACGTGCTCCCGAAGAGGCTGTGATGAGTCCTTCGGTAGTCAGCTCGAACTTTCCCCTCCGCAGGAGACAGCCATTGTCAGTCTCAGTTGCTGGAGGTCAATAGGTTGACATTCAGTTACTGTTCAAAATTGGAAACAGTCAGTGCCATCCACAAGTCTGAATTTATTTTTTTTTAAGCGAACAAAAGTTTTGTTACCCTCCTAGAAATAGCGCTCATACATACGTGGCTTCCTCCGTGGTTTGGGTTTGGTAAAACCAAAAAGAAAATCCCGCCTCCTAACCTCCTTCCCCATACCCCACGGAATGGGATAAATGATAAATGTGCATATTTTAATCCCAAAGGCAAGTCACAAAACTCCAGATAGGCCTTAGCCGTGTGGGCGGTGTTAGAATAACAAGGCCTCCGAGCGTGGGCCGTCTGGATGTGGAGAGAAGCCCCCATAAATCGCTGCATTCCTTTTCTTCACTCGCGTGAAATTTTATAGGAGATCCGATTTTCATGGTAGAAGCACCGACCCGAATCTCAGACATGGCGGCTACCCTGCCTGCTCCTTTAAGGGCGGGTTGCATTGGGCGGGAGAGACCTTGGCTTCACCTGGACCTACCTGCTGCTGAGGGCTATTTAGTAAATGAGAAACCAGAGGTATGAGGAAGCCAGAGGCACGAGGACCACAGACAGAGCTGCTTTTCCTTAAAATCCTCCCCTTTTTCTGCTCAGAGACGGGCGATGGCTTGACTCACGTTGAAGGAGGCCTGATTTCCGTCTGCGTTCTGCTCAGTGGGTGGCGTGACTGTGACATCCTTGAATAGGACTGCAATCACCGTGTGGTGGAAACCACGTCAAATTTGTTCTGGGTTTTCCTTCTTCCTGGAGTGGCAGCACAACACGTCGCCAGTGCTGTGGCTGCAGCCCCCCACCCCTCCGTCGCTTCCCTCCCCAACGCTGAGGAGCTAGAAAATGTGTAACTCCAGCCTGCTTGCCTGCCTATCCCGGGAGTGGGGGGGCAGCCCCTCAGCCTTTGGCTCTGCCCTTAGTCTTTCCTGTGATTGCTTAGGGGGTGGAAGGGAGGCCTGACTTTTGTAGCCCTCCCCCGCTTTTTTTTGCAAGGAGGGGAAAAAATGTGAAGCAGGCCACAAAGTGAACACACTGATTCTTGGGTTCCAGTCGCGGCTGGGCTTCTGGAGGCTGGGTGGCACGCTGTCGCCAGGCTCATGCTGCACCTCATAACCCACAACCATTTGCTGAGCTCCCTCAAGTCGCCTTAATCCCAGCAGCCCAGGGCGGCACAGGGGAAAATAAGAATCCTGGCCCAGAAAAAGGAGCCGTTGAGATGCTTATTGCATTTCAAGCTTCAGTTTTTACTTAGCTCAAATATTTACCGTTGCTGGAAAACAATGTTTAAAATGTTGTGCTTATATGTTATTTAACCGTGTGGCTATGTAAACCTCAGGATGCTTACGTTTTGACAGTCTTATGGAAATGCTTAACAGCACATACCCCGGCGAGCAGGGAGTGAACACAGAAACAAAAATGGTGCTTGAACATGTTTGTAACCCTCCTCCCGCCAGGTATCCAGCAAGGCGTGTTGGGATTCTTCAGGTAAAGGGAGAGCATCTCAGGGAAGGGAATTTGGTGAATCCTGTCCCAGGGACCCCATTGATCAGCCTTGTCGATACATGCCTTCTACCGCAGAAGCCATGCTTGTGGGAATGAATTTGTAGCTTTGCCACGGAGCAAAAATCTCATTTTAAATCCAGGGGAATCGAATGCTTTCAGGATGTGGATTTTTCCAAGGACACGTTCCCTGGTAAGAACAGCGTCATGTTCTTTCCACAAGTGGTGCTGTCCACAGAGGCATGTGCCTTTTGTGTTACCATTAGGGAATAACCCGACCCTCACCAAATAGTCTACCTTCAAGGTGATGAAGTTCACAGGGCTCACTGCTTCATGGAGAACCTCTGAGGCCGCTGAGAGAATGGCTATCCATATGTTTTAAAACCGGAGCGATCTTTAGGTAGAAAGATCCATGGGGGCCGTGACCGTGTCCTTCATGCTAATTCTAGAGCACCTGGAGCTCCGTTATTATTTTGAAGGATGGAGGGGTGGAGGGGGAGCTGGGAGCTTTGAGAATTTTTTTTTTTTTCCAAGAAGCATTCTGCAATCTTTATTATTTTCCTACTGTTTTACAGGCCGTTTTTGCCGCTGAGTTAAAACCGTAACTGAAAACAAACAGTCTTCTATAATGTCCGCTTACTTTTAAAGCCATCCATATAGCTCTTATTAAAGCGATGGCAGCTATTTACAATTGGTTTTATAGTTGGTTACGTTGAAGCGGGAACTGTCACGTAAACGCTATGATATTTAAATTTCCTGATCACGGTTAAAAGTAAAGGCTCGGAAAATGTATATCCTTTGAGATCAGTGTTACATTGGGCCTCAGCTACATCATTAAACCCGTTGTCTTGATCCATGAATCTTCTTATTGACAGCTCCCTCCCTCTGTCCCTCTCACTGCCTGGCATGTATGTGCCCTCGGGAGCAGTGGCAAAGCTTCCTTTAGAAGCTGCCGAGGACCAGGGACGATGGGAACCCTTGTCAGGAGGGTTTGTCTTTAGCTAATGCACTAATTGCCTCCAAAAGAGTCCAAATGGAGCTTGCTGCTTTCATCTGCTGGGGTAACCTAATAAAATAATGTTTGTTTTTAGATTCCCGTCCGTTAAGGGGGTTTTGCTCAAGGCAAAACCAAGGTCCCCGCGAATAACTTCTTTAGGAGGGAAGTCGGAAGATGCACTAATTGTGCCTGTCTGAGGCTGCCTTTCCCCGGCCCAGGCACTCCCCTGCCGCGGGTTCTCAGTGGAGGGATAGGCACCAGGGCCAAGGCCCAGCACTGCGCAGCCTGTTCCTTTGGAGGCCGCGTCATTTTGCAGCGCAGCAGCCCTTACAGTGACCTTTACCCGGACACAAGCTCTCAGAACAGATCTGAGCAAGCACACGTTGGTCTGCCCCATCCAACGTGTGGGAAAGGGAAATACAGATTAGTGGAAAAAGACTGATTAAAACACTCTTCCTTCCTTCTGTCTTCTTTTGAAAATATTCTATTTAGGTCCATTGCCCATTTTTTAATTGGCTCATTTATCTTCCTTTTATTAAGTTGTATAAGCTGTCTGTAGGTGTTGAAGATTAAACCTTCATCAGTGATAACATTTGCAAATATGTTCTCCCATACAGTGGGCTTTCTTGTTTTGTTGATGGTTTTTTCTGCTGTAAAAAAGCTTTTTATTTTGATGTAGTCCCATTCGTTTATTTTCTCTTTAGCTTCCATTGCCCTAGGGGCAGTATCAGTGAGGAAGTTCTTTTGGCATATGTCTGAGATTTTGCTGCCTGTGGATGCCTATAGTATTTTTATGGTTTCTCATCTTATGTTTAAGTCCTGTATCCATTTTGAGTTTATTTTTGTGTATGCTGTAAGTTGGTGATCTAGTTTCATTTTTTTTTTTGCATGTATCTGTCCAATTTTCCCAATGCACATGAAAA